TGTCTGTTATCCACAAGCAGACAGGTTGTTTGTTTCAGACAAGTGTTTTGTTTTGTTTTTAAGGTAATTCAGATTATGTCTCCCCTGACCCCGAACATCACCTGTTGTAATTAAATTCCAATTTCTCTACCAAAGGCTATACTAAATAGCATTCATTGAACACTATTTGTCAGATATTTTTAGGTATTTCACCTGTATTAACTGGTGTAATCTCACAGCAGTACTGTGAGGCTGAAATTATTATTCACTTCATTTTACAAAGCAAGAGTGTAACATAGGAAAGTTAAGTGACCTGTTCGAATCACTCAGCTAGTAAGTGACTGAGCTGGAATTTAAGACCAGAGTCCTTTTATACTATCCAGTTCCATCTTATCATTTTGCTTTGTTTCAGCCACACTGGCGTTTTTATCCCTCAAGCACATCAAGCTTGTTCTGTCTGTAGGACTTCTGCAGAGGCTACTCGTATGTCTAAAATGTTCTTTCCCTGCATGGCCACGATCATCATTTAAGTCTTCAGCCAGATGTTTTCTTCTCAGAGAGTCCCTCTCTGACCACTGTCTTTAAAATTATTCTCTCACATATTCAGTCACCCTTTTCCTATTTTCATAGTAGCACTTTACCTGAGTTGATATTATTTATTCCTTTTTATGTTTGTTTTTCTAGAAGTATTGACTCAGTGTTTCTTGCATGGGTGGATGTTGACTCGGTGGAATGTTGGCTAAAACAGTGGTATAGGTTCTGAAATCGGATCCTGAACTCATATCCCAGGTCCACTGTTCAGTTGTGTGAAGTTGGACAGTTACCTAACCTTTCTGTACCTCAGTTGCCTCCTCTGTACCCTAGAGATAATATCTCCCTTATAGGATTATTATCAGAAGTAAATAGGCTACATACACATCTATTAAACTGTATATAGCATATAAGAACTCAAGACATATGGTGGGTTTTGTTTTTGTTTTTGTTTTTGTTTTTTTTAAGAGATCTATTTGCAATAGGGTATGTGGGCTGCCAAAGAGACAGAGAGATGGCGAGAAATCACCCCTGGGGGGTGTGGCCACACCACAATCCCTTCTTCTCCAGTCTCCTCTTGGGATTTTGGACATGCATGCACACGTGCCCAGCGTGAGTTTTAAGCCGGGTCTGGTACTCTAATTGTGATTGACTACATGGGAGTCCAGCAACGTAAGCAATACACCATCTGCTGGTCCCAACATACTGTCTTTTATGTATTATTTTAAAGTTTTTGTTACTATTAACTGAATGTATAGCATTCCCAGGATGCCCTTTGGAAAATTGAATTTCCTAAGGAAAGGACCCAGAAATTTTTTTTTTTTTTTTAATTTTGATGAGTCTGATAAACATCCAGTCTTAGGAATCATGGCAGTGGACTTTGAGCATAGTGATGCTGTGGATCAGGATCAACTCGGACAGTTGTACCCATGGACATCATAATATCATGCAGTGACACCATGCAGTAATTTGTAATCTTGTTGAGATATAAAGTGGGAGTTAGTGGGACCAGCAGGTGGTGTAGTGGTTAAGGCGCTAGACATTCCCACATGGCGGACCATGGTTCTTGTCCCAGACCTGGTGGCTTGCTTTCTCACTTTTTCATTCTCTCTGTATCTCTCTCTGGTCAAATTAAAATAAATTAATGAATACATAAAATTAAATAATTCTTTAAAAAGAATTTTTTTAAAGTGCTATAAAGTGGAAATAAGTCAACATGGTCAGTAAATTCTGAAGACCCTAATTCTCTCCCCAATGTTCCCATTATAGTACACCCTCCTTATTCTCTTCTGTCTCTGCTAGCAAACAGTAAACCTTAGAGTGACTCTAACTTTGTTTCTAATTAAAATAGTATCTCTAAAAGAAAATTGAGAAATATAGTGATGACGATAAAGTTTTTTTTTAACTGGTCATTCTTAGAAACAAGGACGATCATTTCGACTTTAAACATATTAGTGTATGGAATGACAGATTTGTTGTTTGGTTAGCTTCATTGCATAAATATTGTCTAACATCTCTATCTCCTTTATTTTTGGAGAGGTTTTTTTGCTATAGGGTGCGTGTACTCGCCAGAAAGAGGGACAGAAAGTGAGAAATCACCCCCCATGGGGAGATGGCCACGCTGCAATCCCTTCTCCTCCATTCTCCTTTCAGGATCTTGGGCACACACACACCTGTGCCCAGCACGAGTTTAAGCCACCAGATCCGGGACTTGAACCATGGTCAACTACGTGGGAGTCCAGTGTCATATCCATTACTCCAACTGCTGGTCCCATACCATATCCCTTTTTAAGAAAACAAAATCATGAAGTTCTTTTGACAGCTGCACCAACCAATGCAAGAATTTCATGTTATCAGGAAGATTCTATGTTATTGGTTATTTATGAGTTTGGGTATACCAACATTTTCAAATCTCATAAGAGGCTGTATAAAACATGATTTCTACCTTCTTGGAGTTGGGAAAACAAAACTACTGTAAATAGATAGAAATAAGTGAAGTTAAAATCCATAGTAAATGATAAACAGTCAGGACTGTGAATTTCAGAAAAGAAAGTGAACATAACAGCTGGGAGGGTTCATTGAAACTGTTGCTACTAATTATGACAAATACAACAAATCTTCTTTAGTTGCAGGACCAGCTCTGCCCCCTAATTATAAAAGCAGTAGTTCAGATTCATCTGACAGCGATGAGGACAGTAGTTCTTTAGATGAAGAAGGAAATCAAGAATCTGAAGATGACACTGGTCCACCTGCAAGGTCAGTTACTTAAGTAATAAAATAAACTTCAAACTTAGAATAAGTAGACCAGAACTTAGAGCTAGTAAAAGGATCTTATATTTACATTACAACGCACAGGAAGAAATTATTTTATATGACAGTTCGTTGGAAACTGTACCATTTTCTAAGAAATATATTCTAGTAGTGGGTAGCTATGGAGATACCAGGAATTCTGTTAATTTCTTACATAAAGGATCTGCCCTTAAGGTATTACTTAAGTGACTAAATATTTTAAATAAACCATAAAAATTACTTTTTAAAATTACATTTCTTTTTAAGATTACATTCATTTGAAATACCTAGGTATGTTTTGTTTAAATAAATAATTTCCTGCAAATATAGCCTTACCCACCAAGGTTCTGTGTAAATAAGAAGTTGGATCTTTATTTATTATTGGGTGATAAGGTTTTTGATACATTTGAAAGATTATAAGAGTTGTGGAGTTGTGGGGCATGGTGGTTAAGGCACTGGGTCACACATGGCCAGCAGCATGGTTGGAGTTCCAGACATCATGGCCATCACACGTGTGTGCCTACCCAGAATCCTGAGAAGAGAATTAAGGAGGAGGGATTACATCATGGTCATCTCCGGGGTGAGGGAGCGCTGTGAGTCCTCACTTTTCTCACTCTTTCTGGTGAATGCACATGTCCTATAGCAAAAATAATAATAGTAGTCATAATAATTTGACACGTATGTGTAGGTAAAGTTACACTACTGTGTTTTCAGGAAACTGAAGAGAAAAAAGGATCGTGACAGTGATGATGATGATGACGACGATGATGGATTTTTTGGACCAGCCCTTCCTCCAGGATTTAAAAAGCCGGATGCTTCTCCTCCAAGGTGATAATGTATACTATTTCAGGCCAGTCTTTTCTAAATATTTCAACGGGTGTCTGTTAACTCATTGAAAGGTTGCCTAAAATTGTTTTCTAACTTACATATTTATATAAAATTGGAAGTAAGTCATTCACAGGGGAGAGTAGTTGTTCTCTATAAGAAAAATCATTATTTACATGTTTATGATACTTTTGAAACTTATTTAAAACCTCACACATCTCGAAAAGAAAAAAAAAAAAAACTCACACATCTCTTATTTTATACTCAAAAATGTTTTATGGTAGGCTGAGTGGAACATTATCCCTCTCCTGCCTTTTTAAACATAAGGTCATACACATTGTTAGTGGTAGTCCTAGGCAGAGAATCCTGGCATTCTGACTCTAATTCAGTTGTTTCATTATTTATTTCTTGATAAAAGAAACAAATCTCTATGTGCCAAATTAGTTAGGCATTTTGAATAACTTCTCTGAACCTCAAATTTGTCATGTGTAAAACAGGCCAATAACACATACCTTATAGACTTGTAATGATTGAAATTTCATGTTAATATTTGCAGACATGTGTATATGTGTATGTGTCTGTGTTGAGTCTCTTATATGATGTTGGATACAGAGTGAGTATATAGTAAATACTTCTTAGAATTATAACATTGTTAAATGCAGAATATAAAATTGTACACTAAATTGTTTATAATTCATAATATTATAATATATAGGAACAAGTAGAAAAAAATTGTTCATTTTTATTCAAGTTTACGATCATATTGGGCAGCTCCTAATTCCATGTATTTTGATCCTTTTAGACATAACAGTGATAGGCCAACCCACTAAGAATGATCTTTATATGTTTAAAGAGGCTTTTTTTTTTTTTTTTTTTTAAGATAAATATACCACAGAGACCCAAATGTGTTCCTGGAAGACTAAATTGTGCTATCTGGCCCTTTATAGAAAGTTTGCTGGTCCCAGGGATATAACATTCCTTTCAAGAAAACATGTATAGGAATTAGATGTATAGGAATTTCTTTCTTCAGAATAATATTCTCGGAATGATAAAATATGTGTGTGAAATAATCAGCTGGTAGCATGTATTGGAGTCAGAGACCTCATAATGTTTTTCCAGTGGGATTGAGCTTCAACATGAGTTTACGAGGAGACAGATATTCAAACCAGAGCACCAGAATTTTATATACACAGTTATTTTGCTCAAAGAAGTTTTATGCACCAAAACAAGAGGTTATTAAATTATCAGGACTAGAACCCTGACTTTCTGGCTCTCAGTACTATTGTTCCCCTGTCAGGAAGCCTGTGTGAGGCTCTAATTAAACACAGTACAACCTGGAAAATTCAGCTAAGGACTTTAGTGCCCTCTGTGTTGGTAACACTGGTACAGTAGCTGCTATGGAAAATAACATGGATATGAAAACAAAGATGAAGAAACTAGAAAGTATGAGAGAGAGTAGAAAATATATTTTTTCTTTTATTTTTTTCTCTGCCTAAAGTAAGGCTCTCTTTTTAAGACTCAGAATTCAAGCAAATTTTGCCTTTGAACTGATGACAGTTCCTTTAGAATGTGGCAATAGGGCAACTCAAAAGAAAATGAATTTTGGCATCAAGTAGATGAGGGTACACCCTCCAGCTTGACCACTTGCGAATTGTGTTGACCTTGGGCATTATTTTGCTCACTTAGAAAGTGGATGACTTACGCTAACTAGGGTTGTTCTAAGGAAACAGTAAGGTGTGTTGGTTAGACTGTAATTAGCACAGCCTTCTTCCTCCTCATATGGGTCTCAGAGAAGGTAGCTGCATTTTTCTACATTTCCACGATGTTAATGGATTATCAGTGAGGACAGTGTATAGATTTTATAACACCATGGCACATGTTCCAACAGATTGCTGACATCTGTTGTATGCACATGCTATTCTATATATATGACCTTAGAAGAACTCGATTTCTACTTAAGTAATTATACAACACTTCTAACTATAATTATAATGCCTCTCGGGTATTTTTCAGTAGATAGTGAATGTCAAAACTGAAAGAAAGCCAAGGTACAAAACAGAAAGATGTTCACAGGCTCTAGTACATCATAAAGACTTAATATATATATATGTGTGTAATATACAAAGGAACTTTTCAGAGTTTGTGGGAAAATGGAGTTGAAGTGTAAGTTTGTTTTTGGTGTAAAAAATTTTGAACCTCATGCATAATTATTTTCAAAATATACATTTTCCAGGACCTTTTTGAGGACCCCTCATAGTTCTTTTTAGGAAGTGGGCATATGCTAATGTCACAAAGACAGAATTATTAGTTTAGTATCTAATTATTGACTAACAAATAAAAAGTTAAAATGTAAAAGCTAGGTTTTTAAAGTTTTTTTAAAGACGCGCAGTAGAAAAATACTAGGTACTACTGGTAAAAGTAGCATGTTAAATAAAATTCTCATCAGTATTTGTAACTATCTGGCTTTAATATTTTTGTGAATCCTGAAAACTGCTCTCAAAGTCAGGGAGAATGATAAAGATACATTTTATTTTTCAGGCCTATAATAGGTCCTGCACTGCCTCCTGGTTTCATTAAATCTACACAGAAAAGTGACAAAGGCAGAGATGACCCAGGACAACAAGTATCATCATATATCAACTCTGAGGTTGGGCACATTTTCATTTAAAGAGTAAGATATAACAAACTCAAAACTTGTAGTAATGACTGCAATCACTTGACTCAGATGTAATATAAGACTCAGTTACACTCAGATTAGGATTGTAACATAGGTTAATGAAATCCAAAGATGTTCACAAACCTGAGACTCTGTTAGAATAAATAACAAAAACCTCACAGACTCTTACCTATTCATTATCATTTTCTTATCTCCAGTTTCTTATCATTAAAGAGAGACTTTAAAGTGTTAGAAAAACAGACCATAATGGAAAGATTAAGGAATTCTTGTGATTTGACCTGGAGAAGAGAAAGTTTAGGAACTTTTTTTGTTTGTTTGTTTTTGTTTTGCTATAGGGCACATGTGTTCAACAGAAAGAGAGGGAGAAAGTTAGAAATCACCTCCATGGGGGATGACAACGCTGCAATCCCTTCTCTTCCGTTCTCTTCTCAGGACTTCTGGGCATCCACATGCACACACACACGCATTCACACACACACACGCACCTGGCATGTTTTTCAGGCTGTTGGGTCTGGGGCTTGGCTATGTGGAATCGAGTGTCTTCTCTTCACCACCACACCACCTGAATGACCCAGGAGCTTTTAAATAATGGTCTGTACCTTGAAATTAACTTTCTGCTACTCATCTCTGGTACCTGTATATAAAAAATGCACTTGTGGATAGTGATTTTATGGAAAGACAAGTGAAATGATTTTGAAGTAAAGAATAAAGGCTGTGTTTTTCTTTAGCAGTAGTTGAGATTTATAGAATACTTAATCATTTGTATTGCATTTTTCTCACATATGGGTCTTATTTTTATATTCTTCACAGTTAGTGTAATCGCTATGTCACTGAGCTCCCATGCAGTCGACTGTGGTTCAAGTTCTGGGCCCAGTGGCTTATACTCACTCCGGGCGCATGCGTGTGCATGCCCAAGATCCCAAGAGGAGAATGGAGGAGAAGGGATTGCGGCGTGGCCATCTCTCCGGGGGGGTGATTTCTCGCTTTCTGTCTCTCTGTCTCTCTCTGTCTCTCTGGCGAGCACACACGCACTATAGCAAAAAAACACTTTCAAAAAAAAAGAAATGTATATTATCTCCATCTTACAGGTACTAAAGACCGAAGAAGTTCGTGTACCTTACCCAGTATTATACATTTTTATTTGTCAAAGCCATGGGTCAAGCCCCACGCTTAAGACTTTAAATCATCTGTTCTGTCTAGTGTACTGCAGTGCTTTCCTGTATATTAATTCATATAATTAAGAAACTCTGGGCCAGCCCCATACTGTAGCACTTAAGCATTGTGTAGAGAGGCCAGATTCTACATGGCCAACCAGGGTTTGAGTCTTGGCCCCAGTGACTTGAAAAACATGCCTGGCACATTCACAGGCCCAGGATCCTGATGGGATGGAGAACTGGAAGGAAAAAAAAGATTGCAGCATGATTTGGCCCCATTAGAAGGTGCTTTCCTCTCTCTCTCTCACTCTCGCTCTCGCTCTCACTCTCTTGCTCTCGCTCTCTCTCTCCCTCTCTTTCTCTCTCTCTTTCTTTCTCTCTCTCTTTCTCTCTCTCTTTCTCTCATGTATGCACACATGCCTTCTGACATGAAAGGCTAAAAAAAGAAAGCTCCTGTTCATTTTTACTGAGGATTCAACAATTACACTGAGGTTGTTTTGGAAAGATAACATAATATAATGGTTAAGATCATGAACTTCAGAGTAATTTGCTCATTCTTTCAACAGATGTTTCTAGAGCACCTGCAATATGTTAGGCACATAGTCCCAGAAATGAATCCATCTACAAGTTCTGCTATTCCTACCTTCAATAAACGTCCAGAAACTAACCACTGCTGCCCACTCCTGGTCCCAGTGACGATCATGTTTCACCTCTTTTATTGGTCTCCATGCTTTATTTAGCCCTTTCCTCTCTTCTCCCTTTTCTCAATACAGCCGCTCAGGAATCGGATAAAGTCACTAACACACCCATCAAATTGCTCCTCTCTCTGAGTAAAAGCCAGTATCCTTACTAGGTCACGCCAGCTCCTACCCCTGAGGGTTTACGTGTGTGTGTGTGTGTGTGTGTGTGTGTGTGTGTGTGTGGCTGATGTCTTAGACTTTCAGTCTTCTACTGGAATATCACCCTCTCACTGAAGTCATATCTGAACTCCTAATTTAAATTTGCTAGTTCCTTTTCCCCTTTATTTATATCCCCTTCCCTCTTTTCATATTCTCCATAATATTTTTCAACACCAAAGATAGAATTAATTTTAGTGCTTCTATTAGAAATGTGTCTCCACTAGAATGCAGGTCCAGGACAGAGATTTCTGTCTTATCACCAGTGCTGGCTATATAATGGACATTCTGAAGTATTTGTTGAATGAGCAAATAGGTCAAACACATTCTGTCCACATCACACTTACTAGAGAGTTAGGAATATTCATGTTAAGTAACATCTAATGTTATGAGTGACTTAAAAGATGAGACAAAGTATAAATGGAACCATGATGGGAATCTAATCAGAAAATGATTTTTTTAAAAAAAGCTTTCCTTTGAGAAAATGTCTAAAATGCAGATTGATGAGCTAGAGATAGCTCAGCAAAGAAAACAGAAAACATTATTTGAGAGAGTACAAGTAGCTTATATGAAGCTAATCCAAAATCTAAAATGTTCCAAATCAGAAACCTCTTGAGTGCTGACATACCATAGCAGAAATCTACATCTGACCTCATATAAGAGGTCTCAGTCAAAATGCTGCAATACAAAAATATTGTATAAAATTACCCTCAGGGTATGTGTAACATAAATGATTTCATGTTTAGATTGGTTCCTACCCCCTAGATACCTCGTTAAGTATGTGTTTGCAAATATTCCAAAATCCAAAATAAATCTTAAGCAATTCTGGTCCCAACTATTTCAGATAAGGAATTCTCAATCTATTGCAACAAAATTAGAACACACCTAAGTCTAAAAGGAAGAAAGGTATATCTGCAGATGTGAATTTCATTGGGAGAATTCAAAGCCAGAGCTTGAGTTTACATAGCAGGGGACCACAGTAGTTTTAAAGGACCCAGTCATAAATCCTAGAGGATTTGGGTCTGGAGACCAGAACCTTAATTTCGAGCTCATACAGCTAAAGAAGATTAAATTGAGCTTCCCTGCATAAAAACCATAGTCTCTGTCTGTATAAAGAAGACTAGAGCAATGTAACCCATTGTCCTTGGGAAAGTGACAATCTAGAGCTTCATCATGCTGTGTCTAGTCTATTTTCAAATGGTTGAGAAAAAAGTTGATGTGTCTGTCTCATAGGAAGGGTATAAGGGAGGGGAAAACAGGAAAAAGAAAGTTAAATGTAAAATGTTAGCAGTTAATGAATCTGAGTGACATATATGGGTCTTCATTGTACTCCGTACTTTTCTGCAGGTTTTAAATATATATATTTTTCTAAGTTGGGAACTTTTTTCCAAAGATGTAGCATAATTTACCTTTATTGACTCTTAGAATTTTGTCCTAACCTACCTAGTTAACAAATATGTGGTTTATATCATTTTCTCAGTAGTACATATTCCACATGTTTTAGCTTCTCTTACTAGCAAAAGGTGTGAAAGTTAAGGAATTGTGCCACAAAAAAAGGGGAAGGGGTGATTGCACCATAGTATACTGGTTTAGAATGTTCTTGTTTCTGACTTATTTGGTTTATAATTTGCCTTTAACTAAAGCTTTTTCGAAATGCATAACTTTTCAGTTTTCAAATTGTCGTTACTCAGAAAGAAATTTCTCTTAGTCTCTCATGTCCTATACCCCCAAATTAAGGCATACAGAGTAATACTAATGGTTAACATTTGTTGAGCCCTTACTGTAAGCCAGACACTGCAAAGGACAACACCAGCATGAACTTAATCTAATCCAAACAGCAATCCTGGGAGCTGGTGTATCAGCTAAAAATACTCTCAGCTGCAAAGAACAGGAAAGCCAACTCAACGTGGGACTTTGTCTTACCCTACCTAGTTAGCAAGTGGTCATTTACATCATTTCCTTGATGGTGTATATATTCTCTGTTCTCAAAATCAAGGAAATGTGGGAACCAACAGTTAGCGTAATGGCTATGTTGCTGGACTCCCACGTAGTTGACCGCGGTTCGCGCCCCGGACCCGGTGGCTTTAAACTCATGCTGGGTGCATGTGCGTGCATGCCCAGAGAGGAGAATGGAGGAGAAGGGGTTGCAACGTGACCATCCCCCCTGGGGGGTGATTTCTTGCTTTCTGTCTCTATGTCTCTCTCTGTCTGTCTGGCGAGCACACGTGCCCTATAGCGAAACCCTCTCCAAAAAAAAAAAAAAAATCAAAATGTATTTCATACATAGGGTAAGGTCATTTGAGGGTTGGTTAATTCAGAAGCCTAATGATACCATCGAGAGCTCCAATTTTTCCTCCCATCTTTCTGCTCTGTTATCTACAGTGTGTTAATTCCTCTTAGGCTAATTGCCTTCATTATACCAAGAAGCTTGCCAAAGTTGTAAGATTCACAAGCAGTTGGCAATGTCCAGACACAGAAGGGAAATTGTTCTTTTCCTGAGCCCCCTTTATAGAGGTAGGAAAATGTTTACAGGTTTCCTGTAGACCTACCCTTATGTTTGTTTGACCAAAATTGTATCATTTAGCCATGCCTAATTCCGTCATTTGGGCAAGAAGAATGAAACTGAACTTACTGGCTTAGAATTCATTTTCCCCCAGGAGTTTAGAGTCCCAGTTTCCTGGGAAGGGTATACTTTGAAGAGGATGAACAAAATCAAGGCTTCTCTTGACAAAAGGACTAGTTATCAGTAGAAGCTGTTATAATCCTCATCTAAAAGAAAAGAAAACCAAAGCTTAGAAAGGTTAACTGACATGCTTGAGGTTACAGTGCTAGTGCAAAGGTAAATGAGGCATTAAATGAGATCTATCTAACACTGCAGCCCAAACTATAAATTAGTTTTGTACATAATTTCTATTATCTTTCTGGATGAAATAATGCATCTTTTTTTTTTTTTTAAACAGAGAGATTTTTACTAAAGGGTGCATGCGCTCACCAGAGAGACAGAAAGTGAGAAATCACTCCCCAGGGTAGATGGTCATGCCAAAACCCTTTCTCCTCCATTCTCCTCTTAGGATCTTGGACACACACACTCACGTGTCCGACAAGAGTTTTAAGCTGCCAGGTCCAGGATTTGAACTGCAGTTGACTACGGGAGCTATTTAATATCTAGATTGGTTTTGGACTTATGATTTTCAATGAGATGTGTTAGGTGTATGTTCTATTAATATGTTCTTCTGTTCCCCATCCACTCCTCACTTAGTTTATGTGTCCCAACATCATAAGTGGTCTTTATTTCTAAATATTTCAGGCATCCTCCTACCAAAATACACTAAAATTCTACCTTCATAAAAACCATATCTTACTAGATAAAAGTAAAAATATCATTAACTTATCCCATCATCTTAAGTACCAGTACTGTATTGGTGCCATATCTATTATAGTTTTATTTTTAATGTATTTTTTAAGAATTATTCATTTAATTTTTTTATTTATTTATTTTAATTTGACCAGAAAGAGAAGAAGAGAAAGTGAGAAATCATGCCACCAGGTAGGGGACTCAAACTGGTCAGTCATGTGAGAGTCTATTGCCTTAACCACTACATCACCTGCTGGCCCCCACTGTTATAGTTTTGTTTTTGTTTTTGTTTTTGAGAGAGAGATTTTTGTTGTAGGGCATATACACTCACCAGAGAAACAGAAAGTGAGAAATCAACCCAGGCGGGGAGTGGGGGTGTGGGGGGAGGATAGCCATGCCATGATCCGTTCTCTTCCATTCTCCTCTCAAGATTTTGGGCATGCATTCACATGCACCTGGTGTGAGTTTCAGGCCTCCAAGTCCGGGACTCAAACCCCGATTGACCACATGGGAGTCCAGCACTTTAACCACTATGCCACCCACTGTCCTCTCCCACTGTTAAACTTTTAAAAGTTTTTGGTATCTATCACATCTGCTCATTTTATGTCAGTAGTGTTTATATCTGTAGGAGTTTATAAATATGTTTAAGAGAGTGTAGAGATAAGCTAGAAACAGTTAAAATTAAATCACTAAGGGACCAGCAGTTAGTGTAATGGCTATGTCACTTGACTCCCACGTAGTCGACCGCGATTTGCATCCCGGACCCAGTGGCTTAAAACTCACGCCTGGCACATGTGCGTGCGTGACCAAGATCCCGAGAGGAAAATGGAGGAGAAGGGATTGCGGCGTGGCCATCCCCGTGGGGGGTGATCTCTTGCTTTCTGTCTGTCTATTCTCTCTCTGTCTGGCAAGCGCACACACCCTATAGCAAAAACCTCTAAAAATTAATTAATTAATTAATTAATTAATTAAATCACTGATAGTTGAAATAAGGAAAATAATGGAAGGATCTGTTGTCATGAGTAGAAAATAATTCTTGCCTTGACCTTGTAATATATGATTCTTAGATACTAGTTGTATAACCTCATATAAGCTGTTTATCTTTTCTAAATAACTGCTTTAGGCCTAGGTTTCTTCAAAAAGGAAACAAATAATGCCACTTAACAGTTTGGTTACAAGGATCAAATAATGCATTGTGTGCCATAGTTATTAACTATTTGTTATTTGGAGCAGCCCCATGGCCTAGTGGTTAAGAGAGCCACTTCCCACATAAGTAACTGCACTGTTTGAATCCCAGGCCCAGCAGCTTGAAAAGCAAGCTGGGGGTATGTGTGTATGGTTGCCCAGAGTCCTGACAGGAAGGAAAAATGAAGGAAAAAGGATTGCAGCATGACCACACACCATTGGGGGTTTTCTTTCTCTGATGAGTGCATGCACCCTCTGGCAATATATATGTATGTATGTATGTGTGTGTGTGTGTATATATGTATGTGTGTATATATATATACACACACGTGTGTGTGTACAATATATACAATATATATGTGTGTTTATTATGTATACTATTAATATGAACCATATATGTTCAATACACATATATATTGTATATATTGTATATACACACACATATATAAATAATTTTTTTAAGGAAAAAATCAGAAAATTACCATTAAGTGGATAGTAGAGAATATGAAAACAATATAAGTGAACTTCTGATCCTACTAGTTTGAAAAAGTAAGAGGACCAAACTGCCATCAGAGCTGGAGGACAACCATGTTATTGTTACTCCTCTTAGTAAATCTTCTCCTGGAGCACAAAGATGACCATTTTTTTCTTCAGAGTGCACAAATATTTATTTACAAAAAGTTCAGGTTACATGTGATATAGACTTTTTGCACAGAGTAGTTTAAACAGAATTATTTTATCTATTTTTTTACTATCAGTAGATAAAGAATTAATGAACTACTTATTTTCCTTTATTTATACAAAATAACAAATTATGCTAATTTTTATTTCAGTTTTTAAATATTTTGCTAAGTACAAATACTAGATTCCTTTCTCCAGTTTTAAAACAAATAAATCAGGACTGTCACTGGGAAGTTTCTTGCACTAGGGAGTAATCTCTGCAGCCCAGCCAGCCCAGGTAATGTTAAGGTGCCATCTGCCTCAGGAATTCCTGCTTATCCTCTGATAGGAGGCCAATGTCTGGGCTCTTGGCACTGGAATCTGTCCAGTTATTTGCTGGCTGGTCAAAGTATTCACAACCCCTTCTCAAACAGTGTTCCCCAAACTTCCTGGCACCAGGGACCGGCCTTGTGGAAGACAGTTCCAGCATGGATATAGGTGAGGGTTTTGGTCCCAGGATGACCCAAGCACGACACATCCACCGTGCGCCCCATTTCCACCACTACCGCAATGCCATATAAATGAAACTATCACAACAATAGTGTTCTGTGCCCGCGAAAATACAATATTGCTGCTGATCTGACAGGAGGTGGAGCCCAGGTGGCAATGTGAGCGATGGGGAACAGTGCAAACACAGAGGAACCCTCACTAACTCACCTGTGTCCTTCCCCCACAGTGTGTTGGAGCTGTAGGAGCCAGTAGGTTATGGACAAACAGCAATCTATGGTCCAGAGGTTGGAGACCCCTTTCTCAAGGACAACCTTTAAACCCTAGTGTATATAGTGTCTAACATCAAATCATATATAAAAACCATTTATCAAAATGATTTCACAGGGCCAGCAGGTGGTGTAGTGGTTAAAGTGCTTAATTCCCACAGGTAAACCATGGTTTGAGCCCCAGACCCAGTTGCTTGAAAATCACACCAGGCACATATGTGTACGTGCCCAAAATCCTAAGAGCAGAATGGAGAAGGGATTGCAGTGTGACCATCCTCCTAGGCCTCTCTCTCTCTCTCTCTCTGGCAAGTATACACTATGAAAAAAAAAAAGCAAAAAAAAATTTTTTCACATGAATAAATTGAATTCAGGTATTAAGGTACTATTATATATTTGGGGAACTAAGATACTTTTGGAACTGAATTTAACTCATAGGTGCCCATGTTTTGTGAATTACTGTACAGCATTTCTATTTTCGCTGGCTTTATTGACTCATGGAGCTCTCAAGCATGCCTTACTTACCTATATTTTATTCCAAAGAGCATTTCATATGCTAATGATGTATTAGCTTTGACCAATTGATAATAAGTGCCTATGTTGAGAAAAAACTTTGAGGCCCCACCCCTGCCCTGTCCATCAGGAAGAGAGGTGAAACAGTCCAATGCCACGGATTTGTCATTTCCCCTGTGCACTTGAGGAAGAAGAGGCAAGGCCCCTCGTTGTTCAGTGACGAGCCAGGAATACATTGTTTGCTTTTGGAGTTATCGTCTGTGGGTAGTCAGTTTTGATTAACGTCAAATAATTTAGGATCATTTTCTATAATCTATAGTCCTGCTCTTGATTTAAAAGTAATGTCTTGTTTTAAAAGGAAACAGATAGCAGTGACGATGAAGACATTGTTGGACCAATGCCTGCAAAAGGACCAGTTAACTATAGTGTAACAATGGAGTTTGAAAAAAGGGCCCAGCGAATGAAAGAAAAATTGACTAAAGGAGGTGATGTAAGTTTTAAAAACATTTTACTATTAAGAAATAAGCTAAATAAATTGAAAATCTAAGTTTTAGAAATAACATTTAAAATAAGATATTTATAAAATACATGTCTTTTACATATAGTATGTGTAGAGAAAATTTAGGAACTAGATAACCCAAAAAACATAAAGGAAAAGACTGGCAAATTTGTCCCTAAAAGTGTTCCGTATGGGAAAAGATAACATAAAGTGAAAAGAATAGCAAATGTGAATAAAGTGTTTGTAACGTGTGTGTGTACAAAACCAGGTGACAAAAACATCAGTTCTTTCTATTAAAGTCTGTTAGATAACTTTAAAACCTCAATTGAGAAACATAGTTTCAGGATGTTTCTCAGTGCAGTATTTTATATATTTATGTATATACTTTCCATGTTACTTTCTTCATTAACTTTTCATTTCTTGAAGGATTCACCTAAACCAATTACAAGAGAGTCATGGATGACTGAGCTTCCTCCAGAAATGAAAGACTTTGGTCTTGGACCAAGGACTTTTAAGAGAAGAGCTGATGACAAATCCAAAGATCGATCAATCTGGACAGATACTCCAGCTGACCGGGAAAGGAAGGCTAAAGTAAGGGGTTTTGTTTGTGTGTGTGTGTGTTTCTGTGTATAGTTCTATTTTGAAAAGACAGAGGCAAAATTATTTAACAATATTATCCTTTTTAAATTATGATCCTGTAGGTAAAAGGTGGATTTTCCCCCCAAAAAAAAGTTAAGAGGAGGGAAAAATAACCAGTTGCTTGCTTACTATTTCCCAAGAAACTGCCTCATTTAAATCTCCAGAAAGCCCTGAGACATATAGGTTTATTGGCCTCATTTTATAGAGGGAAAAACTAAACTCTACATGTCAACTTTTCTAAGGTCACAGAGCTAATAAGTGATGAAAAAGAGTTTCATTCTAGACGCTTCTTTTTTTTTTTAGAGAGAGGGTTTTTTGCCATAGGCGCATGCACTCACCAGAGAGACAGAAAGTGAAAAATCACTCCCTGGGAGCATGTCTATGTCACAATCCCTTCTCCATTCTCCTCTCAGGATCTTGGGCATGCACGCACACACGCCCTGTGCCCTACGCCTGCACAGTTTCAAGCTGCCAGTCCAGGCCTCAAACCGTGGTGGACTAGGTGGGAGTCCAGCAACGTAACCATTACGCCATCTGCTGGTCCCAGTGGTGAGATATTCGTAAAATATGGATGACATATTGAAGTCTCTACATTTTAGCACCCTATTTGCATATTTGACAACATCATTAGTTTTTTTTTTTTCTTAAACATGAAAAGAAATCTGAGAATTGTAATAGAAAAGTAAAGTGAATCAGCACATATTGGAGCAGAAGAGAGAACAAAGAATGTAGTACAGAAGTGAACCACAAACCTTAAAAGACTAGTTGTGGAATGCCTGTCTATTCTTTCTTAGCAATTTTTTAAATAAAAGTACCATATATTGGGAGCCAGCAGGTGACATGGTGGTTAAGGTGCTGGCCTCCCACATGGCTGACCACAATTCAAGCCCTAGACCTGGCAGCTTCAGATCATACTGGGCGCATGTGTATGCATGCCCAAAATCTTGGGAGGGAAATGGAAAAGAAGGGGTTATAGTGTGGCCATCCGTTGTAGGGTATGATTTCTCACTTTCCCTCTCTATCTCCAGCAAGCATACATACCCTATGGCAAATAAAAAACTTAAAAAAAAAAAGATACTAGAGGTTTGGTGGTTTTATTTGTTTTAATTTTTTTAATAATTATTTTTTTCAATTTTATTCATTCATTCATTTATTTTAATTTGACCAGAGAGAGAGAGAGAGAGAGAGAGGAAATTGAGAAATCAAGCCACCAGGTCCAGGACTTGAACCATGGTCAGCCATGTGGGAGTGTCCAGCGCCTCAACCACCACGCCACCTGCCAGTTCCCGTATTTGTTTTAATTGATAGAGGGCACATGGCTCCTTAGAGAGAAAGAAATTATATCCCCTCCTAAATGGAGGAGGATCACATCACAATACTTTTTTCCTCCATTTCTCCAGTCCTTCATGATTTTAGACACACATATACATATATCTGGCTTGTCTGTCTTTCTGGTTTTTTTTTTAATTTATTTATTTACATTCATTCACTGTACATCAATACAGTATACAAAATGGGATTTTCCATCCAGAATACAGTGTATATTGGCTCAATGAAAGATAATTATCATACATGTTATCATCAACAAATAATTTTCCGTTTCTTATTTCTTATGTATTTTGTTTCCCCCCCTTGATTCCCTACCTCTCACCCTCTGCCATTTCCTACCCTCTTCCCACCCTGTCTCTAGTATCTATAGTTGTAAATAGAAAAAGGCAGATACCAAGCCTTTTTGTTTTCACATTTTATTGATTCACTAAAGATCTTAATTAATCCAAAAACTTTCAATAGCAAGCACAGCTGATATATACATATCTATGAACTCACATTTGACTTTAGGCGTAAACCTCAGTGAGTAAAGTGGACATACTATAAAGTAGCACCTAGCTGGGGCTATATAGCTTATTGCAGTCATTAAACAGGTATTTTTTAGTGTACTTTCTTTTAATTTTAAGAAATGCCATTTTAGTTTTAATAGATCAAACTCAAAAAATGTTAAGAGAAATTTGCTTAAGACTTAAAACTAGGAAAAAAGTTAGGATTCACTTCAAATAGTAGGTAGATTAAACTATCAACAGTTTAGAAGAAGACAAAAATCCTTAAATCTGGAAATCAAAACATAGAAGAAAATATAATGTTTTAGTCAAAAGTCATAAAATTGTATTTCACCAGTTCAGACTCATGTAATTAATCTCTCTTCTATTGAATTTGCAGTGTTACTATGATCTGATCTTTCCATTTAAACTCTGAAGTTAACATGCAACCCCAGACTTGTCCCTACCATTGGGCTAGCCGTTCTCTTGCTTGTTTTTTGTACAGTTATTTCTGTGTGTCTGACTTTAGCTTTCCTGGTATAGCACTCCCGTCAGTACTTCTTGGAAAGCTGGTCTGGTGTTAATAAATTCTTTCAGGTTTTGTTTATCTGACAATGTTTTTGTCTGTTTTTCCCCTCCCACATGAAGGATAATTTTGCTGGATATAGTATTCACGGTTGAAATTGTTTTTCACTTAACACTTTGAATACATTTCCCATTCTTTCCTTGCTTGCATTGTTTCTGACAAGAGATCTGATGTTAGCCTGATGGGATATCCTTTAAAAGTAACCTGACATTTCTCTCTTGCCAATTTTAGTATCCTGTCTCTGTCAGTAGTTTTGCTCAATCTGGCTAGATGTGCCTTGGGGAAGATCTTCTTGGATTGATTGTATCTGGGGTCCTTTGTATTTCTTGGGTCTGGATATTTGAATGCCTCTCTAAGTTTGGAAAGTTTTCTTTCAGGATTTCATGGAATAGATTGTCAATGCCCTAATTAGTTTCTTCACCTTCTGGGACACCAATTATCTGGATGCTTGGGCGTCTTATGGTATCTAATAATTGTATATTATTCTCATTGTTTTTTCGGTTATTTTCTCAGTATTATTGGTGAATTTTTCTAGGTCAAAGGTTCTGTCTTCTACATCTGAGATTTGATCTTCTGCATGATCTAATCTGCTTTTAATACTTTCAAGTGAGGTTTTGATTTCCTGTATTACAGCCTTCATCTCCAACAGTTCTGTTTGATTCTTTTTTATGGTGTGTATTTCTTCCTTCAGATCACAGAAGAACTTCCTCGCCTCTTGGAACTTGTGTCTTTTCTCCTGCATCTTCTAGAGTTTGTGTCTCTCTTCTCTTGCATCTCTGTTAGCTTTGTCACTATGAATATTCTAAATTCTTCATCTGACATTTGCACGAGTTCCATTTTACAGTCTCGATGATGAAGGGCTGTTCTTTCTCCTTGCAGGAGAGATATTTTCTTGGTTTCCCAAATTTCTTGTACCTCCACAGTGGTTTCTGGTCATCTGATGGATTATTTGTTACTTCCTACTTTTTTGGAGTTAATGCAGAGTGTTAGAGGTGTGCAGGAAGAGATGACCTGCAATATTTCTGCAGTTCTGTTTCCCTGATCCTCACCAAGCAACCTGCACTTTTGTCCAAGGAACTGGATACTACAAAGGCCTCACAGTTGCTAGGGAATAGGTGTACCTGGGCTGAACTGCAGGCTTTTAACTGAGAATTCAAAGGTGTGTGCAGATCCCTATTTCTCCCTGCTGTTCACTTTGTAGTCTCTCTTCTCTGATTTTTAGTCATTTAGGGGTATATTTATATTTGGCTAATTTGTTAGAGATTTCTGCTACTCTAAGCTTGTATGCTTCACTTTACTGTAAGGTACTTCTATGCCTATTGCTCCTCTACTACTGTGTTTTACAACATGATATCCACAGAAAGAGATTTGAATTCAGATTTACGAAGATGAGTTTCTCCCTTTCTGTAGCAGTTCAGTAGGGGTTGACGTTTTCTGTGACCCTAAAAACATTCAGATGTTTTGCTACTGTGCACCTAGACCTCCCTAGACACTCAGTGTGTGGAAGCTGAGAAGTAAGATGGGAAAGGGAAAAGAAAAGGGAAAAAAGACAAAAAGAGAGAGAGAGAGAAAACAAAAAACTAATGAAAAGTGAAAAAAAAATTATTCTTTAAAAAACGGAAACCTAGTGTGCTGCACAAAATGGTAAGGACTTGGCCCACCTCAGACGCACATGGATTCTGGAATTAGCAAGAGAAAGTTTAAGAGAAAGGTAGAGGGAGTGATTGAGACAGAGACCGCTCGCTTCGCTTGGTGTTAGGCCAGAAGGAGAGGTTTGGAGCAAAAGCTTAGGCTTTCCAGCTAAAGGGGCAGGTCTGGGTCTACCTCAGATGCACATGGATTCTCACTTTGTTCAGTATTGTGCCAGATGGAGAGTTTGGGGCAGAAGCTTAGGCTTTTCATTTAAAGTGGCAGCGCCACCTGCTTTTAATACTTTCAAGGGAGGCTTTGATTTCTTGTATTACAGCCTTCATCTCTAACAATTCCATTTGATTCTTTTTTATGGTGTGTATTTCTTCTTTCAGATTGTCCAGGAATTTCCTCACCTCATGAAACTCATCTCTTCTTTTCTGCATCTTCTGGAGTTCATTGTCTCTCTTCTCATGCATTTCTGTTAGCTTTGTCTCTATGAATATTTTAAATTCTTTATGTGACATTTCCATGAATTCCTTTGTATTATCTGTGGAGGATAAGGAATTATTCTTTTCCCTTAGGGAAGAGATATTTTCTTGGTTTCTCATATTTCTTGTGCCTCTACAGTGGATACTGTTCATCTGATGGATTATATGTTTTTTTCCTAGTTTTTGGAGTTAAATCTGAGCATTCAGAGGCAAGCAGGAGGAGGTAGCCTTCAGTCTCTAAATAGAACTGTTTTTCTCCCTTTGTGCAGCAGACTCAGTGGAAATTGAGGGTTAATCTGACCCTAAAAGTATTAAGATATTTGACTCCCATGCACCTAAACCTGTCTAGAAACTCAGTGTGTGGAGGCTGAGCAGAAAAGTGAGAAAGGTAAAAAGAAGAGGAAAAGAAAACAACCCAACAGACAGAGAGAGAGAAAATAAGACAAAAACAATTAAAAAGAGAAAAAAAAATTTTAAAGCTAGGACCAGCAGTTAGCATAATGGCTGTGTCACTGGACTCCCATGTAGTTGACCGCGGTTCGCGTCCCGGACCTGGTGGCTTAAAACTCACGCTAGGCGTATGTGCGTGTGTGCTCAAGATCCTGAGTGGAGAATGGAGGAGAAGGGATTGCAGCATGACCATCCCCCCTGGGGGTGATGTCTCGCTTTCTGTCTCTCTGTCTCTCTCTGTTGGGCAAGCACACACGCCCTATAGCAAAAACATCTCCAAAGAGGAAAAAAAATTTTTTAAAAAACAAAAAATGAAAACTGTATAGTTGCTCAGAGCTCAGATATAGATGACTGGTGATTGGCTTGTCCTATGTGGGTGGGAGGAAAGGTAAGAATTAGCAAGAAAAAGAGCCACAGAGAGCTAAGAAGTTTAAAAACTAAAAAATAATAATAATAAATAGAGACAGAGAGAATAAATAGGGTGCTCTCATGTAGCTAGATCTGGGGGCCAGGAGGGTGAAGTCCGGGCAGAAGGTCTTCAGTGGTCCTAATCCCTGAAAGGGGCCGCTCAGAAATCAGATATAGATGACTGGTGACTGGCTCGTCCTGACTCCTGGCTAGATCTGGGGGACAAGAAGGTAAAGTCTCTGTGTCTGGCATGTCTTTAGGCTGCCAGTTCCTGTAGTCAAACTGCAGTCAGCCGTGTGAGAGCTGGCACTTAACTACTGTGCTGCAGAGCCAGCCCTATTGGAGTTTTTATAACTTAGCCTTTAAGATTATCTCCAAAACAGACAAGCAGTTAGCATAATGGCTATGTTGCTGGACTCCCATGTAGTTGACGTGGTTCGAGTCCCAGACCCGGCAGCTTAAACTCACGCTGGGCGCGTGTGTGTGCATGCCCAAGATCCTGAGAGGAGAATGGAGGAGAAAGGATTGCAGCATGGCATTTCCCCCCCGGGGGGGGGGGGGTGATTTCTCGCTTTCTGTCTCTCTGTCTGTCTCTGTCTTTCTGGAGAGCGCACGTGCCCTATAGCAAAAACCTCTCCAAAACAATAAAAAGAAAAAAAGATTGTCTCCAAAAGATAGTTCTTATTCACATGGACATTTTGTTTGTGCCTATGTTTGTTTGTGCCTCTTTTTTTATCCTTCTGTTGCTCATTGTAGATAGATATATGTCTAAACTACGGCCAGATATTCTGGGAGTCCTGCTTAAAGGAAAAATCACAGAAAAATGGAACAAATGAAAACCAGGCAGTACAGTTTAAACTTAATGATTTTTCCTCACTATTGATGATCAAGCACATGCATGCATGAGAGAGAACAAAAGAGAGAAAGGAGCACCTTCCACAGGGTCTGGTCACACCACCGTGCCTTTCTTCCAGTCCTGCAGCCTGTCAGATCTTGGGTACTCACACACTTGCCTAGCATGTTTCAGGCTGCCTAGGCCAGGGATTTGAACTGTAGTTAACGTGTAGGATCTGGCTTTTCTTGAGAAGCACATTACTGCTACACCTTAGAGCCAGCCCAGAGCTTAAGTGACTTTAACTCCTTTGACTAAATTCTTTAGATCTGATTGTTCTTTTTAGTGCTGAAAATGTTTTGTTTAACATTTACAGTGGACTAGTAAAAAAGTCCTCTTAAATTTTATATAATACTATATTACATAGAGGCTTGTGTTACACAAATAATACTGTTAAACAAAGTCTTTATGTTAATGTTATAAACTATAAAATATCACAGAGCTATTTGTTTTCCAATATCTTTGATCCTGTATAAAGTTTATGACCAATTTTTATAACAGAGCTTATTCAAATTTCCCTCTCGTTAGGTTCTCCTCACTTCATCTTACTTTTTATATTTGATTTCCCAACATACATCTCTCATATTTTTAATGCTCTCACCTTTGCTTATCCAACATGGCCTAAAAGAAGTAAATTTGCTTTTCAGAAAGAAATGAAATCATTTCGCATAATTCAATCAAATAAGATCTGTTATATCCTCACCTCCCGATCTCAATGAGATTTACTATCTTTTAATATGAAATGGTCAAGTTTTTATCTCCATTTTGTCATCACATTTTCTTAATATTTACGAGTAAAAGCCTAAAAATATTTAATATTTAAATATAAATATTTCATTATTAAATTATATTAAATAATATTTAATAATGGAGGTCAAGTTTTTAATCTCCATTTTTCCTGAATGTTTATAAGTAAAAGCTTCCAAAAATCTAATAATTAAATATGATTAATATTTAATAACTAAGTTTTATTAAATAAATAATATTTAATAATTACTTAATAATGAAATAATATTTAATATTTATACACACACACACACTCCCAATCAGGCATGAGCAAGGCCTACATAAAAATGCCTGAAAACCTCTGTATCCAAAGCAGATTTTTTTACCCTGTTAATTGCTTAGGAAAGCCAAACCATTTCTCATCCAATTTCCATGCCTTTCTCATGCCTGGTTGGGAGTATATGTGTGTGTGTGTGTGGAGGGGGAGTTTGTTTTGTTTTGGTTTTTGCCATAGGGCATATGTGCATGCCAGATAGAAAGATAGAGCAAGGGAAGGTGAGAAATCATGCTCCAGAGGGGATGGCCACACCACAGACCCTTCTCTTCCATTTTCCTCCTGACATTTGGGACACGCAAGCATGCACGCCTGGCATGAATTTTAAGTCACTAGGTCCAGGACAAACTGCAGTCAGCCAAGTGGGAGTCCAGCTACATGCTGGTCTTAACAGTATGTGCTTTAGAATATCACTGTAACATGTTTTTCTAATTAAAATCTGTCAGTTTACCTAAATACTTCATTTATGTATGTGTGCTACATGCTGGTCCTAACAGTATGTACTTTAGAATATCACTGTAACATGTTTTTCTAATTAAAATCTGTCAGTTTACCTAAATACTTCATTTATGTATGTGTGCTATTGTAAATGGTTTTGCTTTGTTTTATTTCAAATTGTAATTGTACATTGATATTGTAGGTTATACATTGACCTTGTATCTTGCAGCTTTGGTATGATTGTTAATTAGTTCCAGAGTTTTTTGGTAGATTTTGGGGGGCTTTCTACATAGATAATCATGTCGTTGATAAAAGACAGTTTTGTTTGTTTGTTTTAGTATTATTTATCATTATTATTTTTTTTTAATTTGCTGTGGGGCACATGTGCTCACCAGAGAGAGAGAGGGAAAGCAAGCTACCAGGTCTAGACTTAAACTGCAGTCAAGCCATGTGAGAGTTCAGTACCTTACCCACCATGCCATCTGCTGGTCCTTAATTGTTTTTAAGAGAGAGATTTTTGCTGTAGGGCACATACACTTGCCAAAGAGACAGAAAGCAAAAAATCACCCCTGGGGGGATGGCCACACCACAATCCCTTCTCCTCTGTTCTCCTCTCAGGATTTTAGGCACACACACACACACACACACACACACACACCCGTGTGAGTTTAAGTCGCTGGATTCAGGACTCGAACTGCAGTTGACTACGTGAAAATTCAGCAACATAACCATTACACCATTTGCTAGTCCCTTTTTTTGTTTTTTGGCCTTTTTTTAGTACGTACACCTTTTATTTCTTTTCCTTTTTTTTTTTCTTTTTTCTTCTGAAGAGTGATTCAACTATTTTTGAAAACAAAAGTTTTTAGAAATCTTTTTAAGCCTTATTTTAATTCCTACATTTCATCATTGTTAGTCAAACTCATCTCAAGTTGGAAAAATAAGTAGTTTCTTTTAGCTAGTTGAGTGGATACTGGGTTTTTGTTTGGTTTGGTTTTGATTTTAGTTTTTCTTGTTTTTAGGAAAATTATACACTAGAGCACTTATAAGATCCTATATTGAATATATTAACCTATCTGACCAGAAGGGATTTGATAAGCCTGGCTTAATTTAAGCTCTTGTTATTTAATCTAAATAAAGGTAACTGTATAAATTGAATATTCCTAATCCCAAAATCCAAAATGTTCCAAAATCTGAAACTTACTGAGTACCCAATTTATTGACATTAATGGAAAATTCCACACCTGACTAAGGTGACCAATTGCAGTCAAAATTCCTCAGTACAAAAATACTGGGACCAGCCATTGGCGTAATGGCTATGTCGCTGGACTCCCATGTAGTCGACAGTGGTTCGAGTCCCAGTCCCAGTGGCTTAAACTCACACTGGGTGTGTGCTTCCATGCCCAAGATCCTGAGAGGAGAATGGAGAAGGGATTGCAGCGTGGCCATTCTCCCTGGGAGGTGATTTCTCGCTTTCTGTCTCTCTGTCTCTCTCTGTCTTTCTGGCAAGCACACATGCCCTATAGCAAAAACCTCTCCAAAAAAAAAAAATACCGTATAAAATTATACTCATACTACATGTTTAAGATGCATATGAAACATAATGAATTTTGTGTTTAGATTTAGATCAGATTCCAGAATATCTCATGTATGTGCAAATATTTCTAAATCTGAAATACTTCTGGTCCCAACCATTTGGATAAGGTATACTCGCCCTGTATTTTTTTTTATATCATCTTTTTTATATGGTGCAGTAAAATTTTATCTATTTTCATCCCTCAGGAAACACAAGAAGCAAGGAAGCCATTCAGTAAGAAGGATGAAGAACATACATTGTCAGGAAGGGATAAGAGATTGGCTGAGCAAGTATCCTCATACAATGTAAGTAAGAAAATAATACACTTTCTATTTTTTCTTTTAATTCTCTTCTCATTTTTTAATTTTTCTAGTTTCCTTCTTTTATTAATATATGTCTGCCTCTTTACCTCAGACATGTTCTGTACATTTGTCCTGAAGAATACTCATCTCTGTAGTGTATGTATCTTTTTTTTTTAAGATTTTTTTTTAATTTATTATCATTATTCTTCAATTTCAATCAGAGAGACAGACAGACAGAAAGGTGAGTGAGAAAGCAAGCCACCAGGTCTAGGACTTGAACCATGGTTAGCCATGTGGGAGTCCACCGCCTCAATCACCGTGCCACCTGCTGGCCCCCTGTGTATATATCTTTATATAAAACTTTTCTACACAATTTTCACGGTGTATTTTCAATTTATATTTTATTTATGTCATGTATCAGAAATTGAATTACTAGAAATAGGTAGTACTTGCTTTAAAACCAAGAACCCTACTAACTCATAGAGGTACTCAGTTTATGTGTTCTTAAATTACAAGCAGATTTTAGAGTATTTGATAGATTTAAATATGGTAGAAAAAAATTTTAATGTAGTTCCGTTTGATTTATAAACTAGGGCCAGACTCTTAGCTCAGTAGTTAAACCCTGAACAGAAGAAGGAAGCTAGGACCCACATGGCCAATCAGGAATTGAGTCCTAGCCTGGGCAGCTTGAAATATACTGGGCACTCCCATGTGCTCAGGATCTTGATGGGCTGGAGAAACAGCAGAAAAAGAACTGTGGCATGGCAAGGCCTCACTGGGGAGTGCTTTCTCTCTCTCTGTCTGTGTATATGTGCACGTGTGCCCTCTGGCATATAAATAAATAAATATATAAATAAATAGATAAACTACAAAGGTCAGCGTTCATTTGGCATGTATCATTTTTTGTTATACTATCTCTTACTCTTAAAGAAATTGGTGAGTGTAAATGTATGAGCCAGCCCTATAGCACAGTGGTGAAGTGCTGTGAAGAAGTGCTAGATCACACATGACCAGCCAGGGTTCAAGTCCCGGACCCTGTTGCTTACCCACCAGGTGATATGTGAGTCCTGACAGGATAGAGAATTGGATATTGGCATGACCAAGCCCTGTTAGGGAATGTGCTTTTTTTCTTTCACGTGCTTGTTTGCTCTCTCTCTCTGACACAGTCGCTGGCATAATAATAGTAATAATAATGATAATTTCAAACAAAACCAAAAGAAATAAAGTAAAATCATTAAACCTAGTGGCCCTTGAAAGGTGTTCAAAAATTTAGAAAAATTACTTCCCTTCCCAATGCATTAGTTAATGTAAGTTTCTATATACACTAAAATATAGTTAGCTTGGTTCATTGGACATATATATGTAGACTGGTATCACAGACCGTGGAGCATAGATGAAATACTCTTGGAGATGACCAAAAACTGCAACCTACATGGAGCCGATCAGCTAAAGTTAAGTCTCAGCAAAATTGAAATAATCCCTCTAATTTAGGCCATGTCCTCTGACCACAAAGAATTTAAGGGATTTTTTTGTTTCTATTTTTGTTTTTTAGAGAGATTTTTGCTATGCTGCATGTATACTTGCTAGAGAGACAGAGAGACAGAGAGACAGAAAGTAAGAAATCAGCCCCCCACGGGGAATGGCCACACTGCAGTCCCTTCTTCAGTTTTTTTTATGGATTTTGGGCATGCTCGCACACACGCCCAGCCTGAGTTTTAAGCCACCAGGTCCAGGACTTAAACCACAGTTGACTACATGGGAGTCCAGTGATGTAACCATTAAGCCATCTGCTGGTCTCAGGAATTTAAGTTAAAATTCAGAATATGTAAGAGTTCTGTACAATTGGAAATTAGCAAATTTCTAAATTTAAACTTGGCATCAAGGAAGAAATGATAATAGGAGTTAGAAAATACCTTGACCTGAACCTTGACCTGAATGATAACAAAATCAAAATACATCAAAATGTGTGAAATGTAGCATAAACTGGTACTTGGGGGCAAAATTTATAGCCATAATGAGTTATGTTGGAAAAGAAGAATGGTGGGAACCAGCAGTTAGCGTAATGGCTATGTCACGGAACTCCCACGTAGTCAACCACGGTTCGCGTCCCGGACTCGGTGGCTTAAAACTCACACCATGTACGTGTGCGTGTGTGCCCAAGATCCCGAGAGGAGAAGTGGTTGAGGCATGGCCACCCCCCCTGGGGGGTGATTTCTCGCTTTCTGTCTCTCTGTCTCTCTCTATCTGTCTGGCAAGTGCACGCACCCTATAGCAAAAACCTCTCCAAAAAAGAAAAGATACATTATCAGCCAGATCAGTTTTAAGAAACTGGGGGCCAGCAAGTAGTATGGTAGTTAAGGCTCTAGACTCTTACATGGCCAACCAAGGTATAAGTCCTAGACCTGCAAGCTTGCTTTCTTTCTTTCTTCTCTTTCTTGCTCAGTCTCTCTCTAGTGAGTACATGTGCCCTACAGTAAATTTAAAAACAATAAATAAAATTAAATAAATAATTCTTTTTAAAAAAGAAAGAAAGACCACATGAAAAAGTTGAGAATCATGGGTAGGGAGACATAAAACTACCCATTCCTTCATATCTCTACTCCTCATTCTGTGCATATGTGTAGATATACCCCCATTTGAAGGCTGCTGTTCTGTATTACCTGCATGTACTTCTTCATCCTCTTCCCTCTTCAATGTAGGACCATTCTATATGTTTTCTTAGTCAGTACTCAGAGGTCTATACGAATCCTTGATTTATTAAGCCAGTTAAACCAATTGCCTATGGTCATACTATGTCTTATCAGAAATAATCTGAAAATGTGAACACTTACCCTAGCTAAGAAAAAAAAGGAAAAAAGAGAGAGAGAGGTAAAGGAAAAGAGAAAGAACAGAAAACTTTTTGGAATCAAAATCCTCTTACTTTGGCCTGGTCTTGTAGCTCTACCATTAAGAGAGCTGGATCCCACACGGCTGACCATGCTTTGAATATTAGCTTGGAAGCACGGATAATACACTAAGCACATGTGTGCCCCAAATCTCAACAGGATGGAGAAGTGAAGGAAAAGGGATTGTGGCATGACCATGTGGTCCATGGAGCGCGGGGGATGATCTTTTCTTTCTGTCACTCTCTCTTTCTCTGGTGAGAGCATGTGCCCTCTAGCAATTTAAAAAAAAAAATTGTTAGCTTATGGATCATATCATCATATCCCATACAGACCTTGAATTCTGCCACTTCTGTGCTTTTATTTTTATTTTTAATTGCCAGAGGGTGCATGCACTCACCAAAGAGAAACAGAGGAAGAGGAAGAGAGTACCTCCCAAAAGGGTGTGGTCATACCACAACCCCTTCTCCATTTCTCCATCCTGTCAGAATTTGGGGCATGTGTGCACAGACACCTGGCATGTTTCCTAAGCCACTGGGGCCAAAGATTCTAACCACATTCAGGGTGTGGGATCTGGCTCACCTTAACCACTAGGTACAGGACCAGCTGCCACTTCTACGTTTTTATTTCTGTTGGTCTTTGTTTTTGCTTTATCCAGGCAATGCCTTCTCTCCGTGTCTACTAATGTAGGCTTTAGGCACCACCACAAAACCATGAACTGAGAATAAAATTGCTCTTTTATACTCATGTTCTTGGTTTGTACTCTGGTCTTTGGTATTGAAATAACCATAATGCCTTTTTTTCTTTTTAAGAGAGATTTTTGCTGTAGGGTGCATGCAGTCACCAGAGAAACAGAGGAAGAGTGAGAAATCACCCTTTAGGGGGACAGGCATCTAAGCACAGGTACCCAACGTGAGTTTGAAGCTGCCAGGTCCAGGACTCTGTCCATGATCAGCCATGTGGGAGTTCAGAGACATAACCAATACACCATCTGCTGTCCCACCATATTGCTTTTTTTTAAAGAATGATTATTTTATTTTATTATATTTATTAATTTATTAATTTGTTTGTTTTAATTTGACCAGAGAGGGACAGAGTGAGAGAGAGAGAGAGAAAGTGAGAAAGCAAGCTGCCAGGTCCAGGATTTGAGCAACAGTCAGCCATGTGGGAGTCCAGCCCTTAACCACAGTGCCACCTCCCAGCCCCCACCATAATGGCTTTTATTATGGTTACTTAATTATTTTCTCTCTGTCTTGTTCCCTTTTTAAGTTGCATAATATGTAGTGGTAGGCATCTTCATTTTGTTTTGTCAGATGGCATGTGTGCTGAATAAAAAGAGAAAGAGGGAGAAAGCATCCCTTCCCAGTGGGGTATGGTCATGCTGCAAATTCCTCACATCCTTCTCCCCCACCGTCTTCCCATCCCATGGGGATTTGGGGCATGCACATATACACACCTGGCATGTTTCTCAAACCACTGGGGCCAGGATTTGAACCGTTGTTGACCATGTGGGTTCCAGCTCCACTAATCACTAGGTTATGGGGCCAGACCTCTATGTTCATTTTTATTTAATTAAATTTGTCTTTGACACATATTTTCTTCATAGATGCTACTTTGGATTAGGAAAAACCTACTGGTGTTTGTAAATAACTTTTATTTTTTAATAACTAAAGAACTTTTATTTTTCACTAAGACTTTATTTTGAGGACATAACTAAACTGTGTCACCACCTCCCACCCCATCTTGAAGGGTTAGTACAGTGAGTGTTACAAAACAGGTATGAATGGTTTAAAAGATTGGAGCCAATATTAACTGACAAGGAGCAAGCTCCAACTGAATCATCATAAAAATGTTTAAATAAAAAAAAGGAAGAAAAAAAGGGACAACGGGTTGAAATTAAGCAAAATCCTCACATTTCATCAAATACGTTCGATCTTGGCTAGAGTGTAACAAACTGGAAACAGGATATATGAGACACAGACTCTCACTTTAGCACTGTACACTCCTGTATTCTAAGTCCATCCCCACCCCCCTAATGCTTCCAGCTCAATTATTTCCCAGCTTGTTGGGTTTGCCCACGAAGGAAGGAGCGTGCAGATCTTCTCTTTAATCCAGTCTTTGTTATACGGCTGGTGTGTCTGGGTATCAGCTCTGTAAACAAGGTAGCTGAGGTCTGCCAGATCGTCGATGAAATCAAACAACTGACTGATATCGTATGTGATGGAGGGGCTGTTGGGATTCATTCTCTTCAGATGTTCTTCATACGTTTTACAAACACCTTCCATGCATTCATTCACAGATTCATAGTCAGCATGCGTAAGTTCTGCCTTCTGGCCTCTTGGTGGGCTGTACCAGCAAAATGGTTTGAGACATCGCGCCAAACTCTCTTCACTGCAGCCCTGTAAATAACTTTCTTTAATGTGTACTGTCACTGTCTGTTTATTCCCTTTCATGGTCATGTTCTGTCAGTAATCAATACAAGCCAAGGCCTTCATTTCTGCTTTCTCCAGGAATCAAAAAGATCAGAATCTCTTATGGACATTCACCATAAAAAATTAAAGACCAAGGCTGCTGAAGATAAAAGTAAGCCCCAAGAGAGAATACCATTTGACCGTGATAAGGATCTCAAGGTTAATCGATTTGATGAAGCTCAGAAAAAAGCCCTGATAAAGAAATCTAGAGAACTAAACACCAGATTTTCACATGGCAAAGGCAATATGTTTTTATAGGTAAGTATATTTCAGTGAGGTGTAATATCAATCAATTTTCATATTGATCAGCATGAACTTTTCTAAATATTCTGCTGTCTATAATAATTTTGTGCTAAAATCTGTTTTCTTTTTAATGAAGTTGATTATAAATCTGCATTTTAAAAAAAATACTATAATTTTTGAAAAGTCAGCCTTGGGAGAAAATTTTTTGGTTTATTGAAAAAAATAGCCTGGCGTCATAACTGGACATTACTATTAAAACTCCTAAAATAAAAGTTTGGTTTATAAGAAATGGCTTAAAACTTGAGTAAATATACATGCTTTGTTAAAGGATGAAGAAGAGAGGTTTGTTGGTAGTTTTCATATTAAACAAGATCACAGGAAATGTTCATCACTTTGAAAGGTTCTGTAAGTTCAAAGTCAACAATCCAATAGCTCAGTCTAGCAGGGATTCCTAATGACAGTTAAGGAATTACTTAAGAACTAAGGTTGCTCGTTAAAATCTTTATATTTTTTAATATTTATTTGTTTATTTATTTTGAGAGGTTTTTGTTATAGGGCGCATGCACTCATCAGAAAGACAGAAAAACAGAAAGTGAGAATCACCCCCCGGGGGGAATGGCCACTCCATAATCCCTTTTCCTCCCTGCTCCTCTCGGGATCTTGGGCGCACACGCACACGCGTCCGGCGTGAGTTTTAAGCCACTGGGTCCGGGACCCGAACCGCGGTTGACTACGTGGGAGTCCAGTGACATAGCCATTACGCTAACTGCTGGTCCCTCGAAATCTTGATGATTTTAATTGTATGAGTACTCGTACATCAATATTCAAGTACGATTTTAAAGGAAAATAAAGTTATAGATATATTTTCTAACTTACTGACTTTTTCTCATTCTTTCCTCAGCGGGATTTTACTGTGCACTGAAGAAAAGCTGAAGAATACTGTGTGTATCCACCCTTATTCCTTTGTTTTGGACTTCTAAACATTAAAGATTACACGGTCTCTTCCTGGTGAGCACACATACTCTATGGCAAAAACCTAAAAAAAGAGAGATTATGTTAATCTTAAGAATCATACAAATTAACCTTGTCCTATCATGTGGAAACGTAAAAATCAATGTTTCTTATACGAAATAGAATATTTTGTGCGTGCCTTTGGCTTCTGAGGAAGCATGGGCTTTTCTTCAAGTAATTATTCTGAGGATGCCTTCTTTCCCCCACCCTCCAGTCGCGCACCTTTGTGTATCTCACCAGTGCCCTCTAATGTCTGTCAGGACTGTCCACTGAATATCTGCAGCAGCCTGGACCTCCTCGTCAGTTGTAGCTAACCTGCCCTGGAAAAGTAGGTCAGGTCCTTGCAGTAAATCCGTGCGTTTGAATTGGTTGGATTTTCCCTCTAAACTGCAGCCAGTGAATACACGTTTACTTGAAAATAGAGGCTATGGGGTTTTGTCTGTCTCCTTACCAGTTTGCTTGTTTTGGCACTCAGGGCTTTTTATTTGTTGATTGTTTTGTTTGTTTTTAAGTCAGAAAGAGGGCTTTCTAGATCATCTCATGTGCTAAGGAAAAACTGTTTTAATTTTTCCAGTTTTAATAACAAGTATTAAAGGGGAAGCGGCCTGAGGAACAACACATGCCATGAACGTTAGTGTTAAATCTGTAAGACTCGGCCTCTGTGATCTCAAAGCTTTCTGACTCTTGGAACTTTGCTTGGTACCTGATCTTACTTTTCTCATTTATGTATTTAACAGTTTGTAGCTAATTTATTGTGGTCAGATTTCGTTTATCAATCCTGAATAGCCTTTATTTAAAAATCAAGGTGATAATCCCTGAATGCAAAAATGGAAATGGAAAATCTGTGATTATAACCACCGTAATACTCTAAATTTGTAATGCTGTAAGTACTGCCTCTTTTGTTGTTAAACAGAAAATTCTAAATTGTTAAATAAAACCTAAGTGCAAATTCTGTAAATTACATTTTCTTGTAGATAATCCCAGTTGTTTCGCTAGTTCTTTGTTCTAGTCTGGATGAAGTACAAGATTTTAATGGAGAAAAGATTCTGTAAATTTATGTAAGTTTTATGAAAACTAAGTAAACTGTTCAAATTATGGTGCAAATGCTTCTCCTAGTAATAACAGTACAATGGTTTTCCTGTATTAGTGGAAGCAGTAGCCTACTGAAGAATGTTGCTATTAAAAAGATGAATTATTCTCCTAATCAAACTGAAAGCACTTCTTGTCTAAGCAGTATTGAACAGAGCTACCTTTTGACTAAGTAGTCAGTAATACTTTCTGAACATAAAACTTTGTACAAGAGTATCCATCATGTCTAGTTTTGTTATAACTTCTTTTCCCAATGAAAGGCAAAAATGTTTTCTAGTTTCTCATCCCTACGTAAATCCCTAACAAATATTTTTATAAAATTTGGTATATTTTAAAGTTAAAATATCATCTTTGAATACTTATTTTTATTTTGCTTTTCTCATCTGAAAGGGATGGGGTATTTCTATATTTTGTGTTTAGTATTTCTTCCCTCATCTTTGGTGGGTTCATGACTTAGGCATGAGGGAGAGAAGCTTCTCCTCGCTGCCTCATACTTCAGGAGTTACTACCTTACTCCCACTTTGGAGCTAATGCTCTTTGGTGCCACTCTGAGAGTAATTGTAACAAAATAATGCCAGTTCTATCTTTTTGCTTCATGGAAAGAGCATCCAGTATTGACAATAACTTTGACAATAAAAGAACAAAGTAACTATTTGCTCAGAATGGAAAGGTGTATTTTTCATTTCATTTCCTCCTCTCTTACAAAGCTGCAAAAAGCCTTATTAAATCAGCTTTTCTATACATCTGGCAGAAAACTGAAATGCCTGATGTTTTCTAGTTAAGAACTTTTTAATTTTCTGCATTTCTTGACCAAGTTTTATAGTACTGTGACCTCTTGAAATTTAAAAATAAAGACTAAACAAATAACATCACTACATTCGTACAATGGAGTAGATACTGTAACGATCTTCAGCTTTAAAGGTGATATTTAAGTCATTGTACCTGAAATTACATGATTTTGCCCAACTCTCTAATTTGAGATTCAGACGTGATATAGAGGCTTCGAGTAGGAGCCACATTACTGTTAAGTGAATGGTATTATCTATTGGGTCCCAAATATCTTGGCACTTTTGTAGGGCAGATAGTGTGAATATTATTCTAAAACGTGGGATTATGAAAGATAGTTTTTAAATTAGTTACAGGAGACCCGTATCACTTCTCTTTTCTTTTTCTTTCTTTTTTTTTTTTTTAGAGGTTTATGCTATAAGGTGTGTGTGTTCACTGGAGAGAAAGAGAGACAGAAAGTGAGAAATCAACCTCTACTGGGGGATGGCCTTCTCGCGATCCCTTCTCCATTCTCCTCTCAGGATTTTAGGCACACACGTACCTAGTGTGAGTTTTAAGCCGCCAGTCCAGGACTTGAACCATGGTCAGCTATGTGGGAGTCTGGCAATTTAACTATTATGCCATGTTCTGGTTCTCTCTTTTAATTTTTTCTGTGCTAAGTATAGGTATTATTAGACAACATTTCTTTGTTGAGCTATACCTAAGAAAAAGAATCAACACACTAGCAAGTTGTTATAGATAGTTAGTACCCACGTACCATCAACAGCCAAATCTATTTTGGAATATTCAGTCATTTTACTTTGTCATTTGATGCCATCATGAGATTTAAGTCTATAATTACAAAAACTGTAGAAATGCTACTGTAGAAGTCTATTTTCTGCAGCTTAAAAAATTGTTCAACTGTGACCATGGCATGTACAAAATTTAAAAAGTGAAACTGTTTACGATCTTTTCATTTTGAGCTTTATGATTAATTAAAAGACTTTTTGGGAAAGAAGAATCCCTGAGGCGTAGTTTTTTTGTTTTTTGTTTTTTAATGTATACATAAAGTTTCATTTGTATCTGAGTAGTTGTAGTCTTTTGTTTCATTTTAATATTACTAGCTTTTCTGAATCAGGCAATATTGGTAAAGAGAATAAATTATTTATGGATTATGGTGGGGAAAAAATTCCTTTATACCTTAACTCTCTTGCAAGACTTTTAGTATCCCAGCACCATTTCAGATATTACCTGTTTAGTTAGAAATGCCAGGCAGGCCAACTGGAAGACATGGTAGTGGAGTCGGTAAGATCTTCAACATCAGCAGAGTGGCATTCTGTCACCCAGTCCCAAGCACCACTGGTATTAGCTACATATCTATAAGACCTGTGGTATGGTATGGAGTGGTGGTGGCACTGGGGCGTCACTAGAAGACACTGCAGTATGGGTGGACATAGCCCTTGCGTGTATAATTTCTGTACTTAAGCTAACCGGAGTATACTACCTTTTTTTTCTTAGGTTTTTGCCACAAGGCACATGTGCCCACTGGAGAGAGACAGTGAAAGGGAAAGTAAGAAATCACCCCCCAGAAAGCCACACCACAATCCCTTCTTCTTCATTCTCCTGGGACTTTGCTCTTGCATGTGTTCCCGGCATGACTTTCAAGCCACCAGATCTGGTACTCGAACTACAGTCAGCCATGTGGGAATCCGTCACCTTAACCAATACACCATCTGCGGGTCCCCAGAGTATATGACTTTGTTTGCAACCAAGAGCCTGGCTAACATACAGGAATTACACTGTACTGAGCAAAAACTTACGGAGATAGCAACCTGGAGTCAGATTCTGTCCCTGCCACTAGCTGTGTAAACTTGAGAAAGTTCCTTTGACCTACCTCAATTTTAGTTTCTTTGTCCTTTAAATAGGAGCAATAGGACTCACCTCACAAGGTGTTCAGAGGAATGGATGAAATGATATTTTTAAGCAATTAGCACAAAGTCCAACAATAAATGATGGTTATTATTATTGTAGTTCCCTGGATAATAGACCCACTCAGACAACTTTTGTAGACATGCATTTCTTATGACCTCAGAAACTGTATCGGGACCAGCAGGTAGTGTGGTGGTTAAGGCGCTGGACACTCCCACGTTTGAGTCCTGGACCTGGTGTCATGCTTTCTCACTTACCCTCTCTGTCTTTCTCTCTCTGTGTATGTCTCTCTCGTCAAATTAAAATAAATGAATAAATAAATAATTCTTTAAAAAAAAAAAAGAAAAGGAAAAAAAAAGAAAATGTCTGTATCAGGACTTTTGGCAGCAAGTAATAGAAACCCAACTCAAATTGGCTTAATCAAGAAAAGCTCAGGACCAGCAGTTAGCATAATGGCTATGTCGCTGGACTCCCACGGAGTCGACTGCAGTTCAGGTCCTGGACCCAGTGGCTTAAAACATGCTGGGCACGTGAGTGTGCGTGCCCAAGATCCTGAGAGGAGAATGGAGGAGAAGGGATCGCAATGTGGCCATCCTCCTAGGGGGTGATTTCTCGCTTTCTTTCTCTCTGTCTCTGGCTGGCTGGCAAGTGCACTGACAAATTCATGTGCCCTATAACAAAAACCTCTCCAAAAAAAAAAAGAAGAAAAGCTCAATTATTTGCTCATGTAATGAAAAGTCCAGAGGGTAGCCTGGCTGTAGGTATAACAGGATCTGGTTGCCCAAAATGTCACCGGAATCCTGCTTCTCTCAGCCTGCTTTCCCTTGTGTGGATTTCACCCTTAGACGAGCTTCCTAGGTGGTAACAAGCATGGACAGCAGCCCCTCGGAAGTCACAGCCCATCAGTTTAACAATCCAAGGAAAAGAAAGCCGCCCTTTCCTAATAGTTTCAGCCAAAATCCAAGAGCTGATCCTAATTGCCTCTAAAGATCAGCTTTGGTCCTTTGTCCACCCCTGAATCAATCATACGGTCGGGATAAAACACTCAGTAGCCCAGGTTGGTTCGTATCCCCACCAATGGACCCGAAGCGTGGGTTAAACCCTATCTAAATCTCATAGACTAAGAACTTGGCAGGGTAGTTCCCTGAAAGAAAGTGGAAATGCTATCACTGAGAACAAGGATAACATCCTACAAAGGCTATAACATGATTGCTATGACCTCCATCTCATCTTTGAGTCCCATCAGTTTTCTAGTGAGAATACCAATATTTTCTTAGCAACATGGGATACAAGTTCCCAGGTTTGCCAATGTTAGCACGTGGCCACTGTGAATCCCCTTTCCATTAGTTCTCATGCTTATGGATCTGTGTGTGTCGGGTGGAGTTGGGGTGGGAGGTAGAAGAGTGGGAGGGGTGTACGCACACTGACATGCTTTAGACATGACAGCCAGGGTAAGTTCTGCCCAATAAGATGGTACTGTTTCTTTTTTTCTTTTTTTAAAAAAATGAATAATAGAAAGAGAGTGAAACAGAAAGCAAGAAATCACCACCAAGGGGGAATGGCCACGCCGCAATCCCTTCTCCTCCATTCTCCTCTCAGGATCTTGGGCACGCATGCACACGCGCCAGGCATGAGTTTAAACCATTGGGTCTGGGACTCAAACCACAGTCAACTACATGGGAGTCCAGCGACATAGCCATTACGCCAACTGCTGGTCCCAAGATGGTGCTACTTTTAAAAGCCTTTCACTTATCCCCTCCTTATTTGCTTCAATCAAATCTCCTGACATCAAGAAGTACATTTAGCAAGGTAGATGAGAAATGAGGCCATCACAGTTTATTTACCACATTCTACTGCAAATTATAAATCACAATACAATTCAGAATGATTTATTTTCATCTGTAAACAAGAAATAAAAAAGAAAGGGAAATGAAAAATACGAAGGATTGCCAGCTCCAGCCCAGTCAATAACAAGGAAGCCTGCCTGCCTTTGCCCATTAATCATGTCCCTTGCACAGTGACATCAATGACGGGAGCGAGGTCAGCCACGACAGGAACCAGGTTCATTCTCACTTCAAGCCCAAGAGGGGACCTCACATCAGCAACTCCCAGCTAACCACCACCGTCAACTGAGGGCCACTGGGTTCCTCGAGTGCTCTGCAGATTCCTGGTCTCTGTGCGCCCTTATGGTTCCCCAGAGAAAACCAGGAGCAGTGCCACTAAAAGAAGAGAATATATCATGGGCAAATATTGAAAGAAGAAAAACGAAAATGGCAATCAATAAAAAGCCTGATGTGGGGTAGTTAGAAATAGACTTTTTAAAACATTGTCAAGTAGAGGTAGTTCTTTAATAAGTAGTTGTTTATAACTGGCAATGAAATATGTTGCCATAGTGCTGCTGGCCTCTTTTACCTACAATTAGATAACTTGTAAATAAGTCATTCTAAAGAGAATAAAAGGTATTTTCTTTTTTTTCTTACAAAATAATTCCTAAATAGGCTTTGTTTACCCTGCCTAGCAACCAATCGACCCTCAGCGTGGTCAGTAATAACATTGATTTGGACATTACTAAGGCCAGCCAGGTGTCGTGGTGGTTAAGGTAAATGGATCCCACGTGGCTAACTGTGTTATCTGAGGCCTGGACCCGACAACGGCGGCTTAAAAAGCATGCCAGTTGCATGTATGTGCCAAATATCGTGAAAGGAGAAGGGATTGTGGCATGGGTCATCTCCCCTCCACCCCCGGGCTTTCTCATTTTCTGTCTCCAGCGAGCAGAATTGTTCTATAGCAATTTAAAAAAAAAAAAAAAAAAAAACTACATTTTAAAAAACAGCAATACACATTACACTAATAAAGTATGAGCTTCAAATCTCAGTTATCATGCAGAAAAATGTTCAGAAGTTATTTAGACCAACTTCATATGTAGCTATAGCCACATAAGCTGGTAGAATATTGGATAATAGAAGAGAGAAAAGAAGAACAAGGGAAAAAATTGTGCTACACTTGGACAAACCTATTGGGTGTCTACCTAGAAAACTTTCCTGTTCTGCTTTCTATACCTTGAGAGAGAAAACGAAAGAAGAAAGTCTAGAGCTAAATTGGTTAGTTCCTATCTACAAATATTTATCAGACTTCCACAATGTGAAAAACACTGGCTTGGGAATATAAAATAAATAAGACTTGGTCCTCAATTTTACAGTCTGGGAGAGACAAAAAAAAATAGGTAGACTCTTGTGATGTGAGCATAGGACAGGGATGTGCACAAAA